CCGGGGCAAAAGGCACATACATAAGAAAACAAAACACAAATGAAGAGCATTTACCTAAAACACAGTCTATTGACTAGAAATACATGTGGTAAGAGCTGCAATGCAAGATAAAGACCCCAGTGTGCAGGCAGCAGTATCTCCTGGAAAATCTGGGCATTACACGCTGATTAAAGTCAGCCTCCAACTCTGAAGTCTGTCTTACAGGGTTTTGCTACATGTATGATATGATGGTATGAAAGAAACATCACGTACTTTTGAAACTGCCTGAAGTCAGATCCCTTCCAACACAACACATTGAAGCAAATAACAGACGTCTTCAATGAAAAATTAAGTTATAAAAGGCAAATTACATAATAGATGACATACAGCGTGTTCTCGAATCTCCTGGGCACACCTGTAGCTTTTCCTAATGGCCTGATCACAGATCTAAAGAAACATGTAGAGGTTCAAAAAACAGTCTGAAAGTTGATACACTTAAATAAAATTGCACAATTAACAAACCTGGTATAATGTTCAGTATTAAAACTGACTTTTAAATTTATTTGGTCTTTCTATGTAAGGAGAAATATTTGCACAGAATAACAGCAAAATCCAGGGCCTGGAATGGAGCCCCCTGAGGAAATTCTTGAGACCAGTGTGGAGACCCATTTGTTTCCCAGGGATTTAACCATGTATAGGATGTTTTAAAATAGAAGCTTTATATACTTTTCAAAAGTTCAGCCAAGTAATCCCTAATCTTACCCTATAAACACAGACCACTGAAAACCGTTGAAAACATAAGCAACCTTCTCACATAAGAACAAATTACATTTGCCTAAATTTGGAGGGGAAAAAAAAAAAAGGAAGAAAGAAGAAAGAAGTTGTATATGAAGCCAAGTACCTCAAATAGAGTCAACTTTTCCTCTCATTTCTGTCATTCATAAAATTACTTTCCTTGATCTAAAGAACACTGCAGTATCACTGGAAACTCGTTCATATTCTTAAGAGAAGTAATAAAGAAAATGACTGCAGGCCCTTGTAAAATGCCCTGACAACCTAACCCTTGTTGCTCTAGAGGAAAGTAAACAAATACCCTGCATCTGCTCAGAAGACTGACTTGAGTGCATGTGACCCTGTATCCCAAGGCTTGGCACTGGCAGCAGAGTGCTACCAGTCCAGCTGTGGGTGCACACAGGGCTGGGAGATGGAGAGGAACCTGGCTCACTCACACCACACACCAGCTCGCTGATCTCCACAGAGATGCTGCAGATGATGCTCCTACTGTTACTCATGCCAGGGAAATGTTGGCCTTGTCCTGCTTCTCCCACACACTTTTAGGGGAGCAGGAAACGTGACAAATCCACACCCTCTTCCTGCAGTTCTGCATCATAATCTTAGCTGGCTTGCACCAAAAAGCACTGGCATCCTCTGCCTGGACAAGGAGAAAATAAATGGAGACCACTACCATCAGCCCAGATGAAACAATTCTGACCTGCCATTAAGAGTACTTGAGGTCTCAGCCCTGCTGAGGGGAGAGGTTCCCTGCCAGCTGTTAACAATTCACAACCCAGCTCCCCACCCAGCTCTCCACAGCTTCAGCAATTTCCTGAAATCCTAAAGCTGGTCTGTACTTACAATTTAGAAAGATTGCTTATGCCTGGAGAGGAAGTAATTATAACCTGCCACTGCAAACCCATCACCTAGAACTGGACACTGACATCTCCCTGCCTCACAGATATCCAACTGTAGGGATCATGCTGGACCCATGTGGATTGTGTTCTCAGTGGCACATCCCAGAAAAGGCCTCTCGACCATGGTGTCAGGGCTGCAAGCACCAGGTTTGCCTGTCTGTGCTCAGGTTCACCTCAGAGACAGCATAGCTTCTGTCCTCCAAGAGCTGCTGGGGCTCTTGCCTTTGGCCCCCAGCTGAGCTATTGCCCCTGCAGCAGTGCAGCCTACCTGTGACCCATCTGTCAGGCCCATCACCCAGAGAAGTGCCAATGCCTGGGGCTGGGACTGAGGATGGGGCTGCCTCAGTGCCCCTGGCTGCCCTCCTCCTGGCTGAAGTGGTTTGACGGTCCTGGCTGCCAGGCCCTGCTCTGACGGACCCTCCATGGGGAACCCTCACTGCTGTGCCCTGACATGGGTACACGTGTACCCTATATCCAGCATACAGCTTACTGTCGCTCACTACAACTGCAATTCTAGATACCATGAACACTCCTGGGTACTTCTGAGCCTTATGATTATTACTGTCATAGCACTGAATGTCATTGCCCTAAAATTAGGTCTGGGCACATCTATAGGGATGCTGGGGGAGGGACTCTTCCTTAGGGACTGTAGTGACAGGACAAGGGGTAATGGGTTAAAACTTAAACAGGGGAAGCTTAGGTTGGATATAAGGAGGAAATTCTTTCCTGTTAGGGTGGTGAGGCACTGGAATGGGTTGCCCAGGGAGGTTGTGAATGCTCCGTCCCTGACAGTGCTCAAGGCCAGGTTGGACGAGGCCTTGGGTGATATGGTTTAGAGCGAGGTGTCCCTGCCCATGGCAGGGGGTTGGAACTTGATGATCTTAAGGTCCTTTCCAACCCTAACTATTCTATGATTCTATGAAAATGGACAAACAAAGCATACGGAGAATGACTGCCAGAAATGTGCACATTCCGTTAGTGTTTAGCCTACTTACTGCTCAGGACACAAACCAAACTTTAAAAGAGCTCTCTGGAGTAAAACACTGTAGTTAAAAATATCAGATGACTGTTTGGGAAGACCATTCCTATCTTGTGAGCAATAGCTGGAAATTATCATCTCCGTTTTAGTGCTACAAAATGGCAAAAGAAATATAGAAGCTCACTGAAATCAGCGGAAGAGTCTCACTGATTTAACGAGCAAGATGGAATCCAGAAATCTGTTACCTCTCCCAGCAAAAAGACATCAGATAAGGACGGCAAACATTCCTGGGAAGCACATGGGATCCTTAGGTGGAGAAGCTATGCACAGGAAGAGGATAAGCTAAATCTAAACTGGCACAGAAGCACACAAAGTGGGTACTCTGCTCCTCAGCTGTTGAATCATTTGCTTTGTGCAATGCACTCGTGTCAAAGGTGCCTGTGCTTCCCCACTGAAACACTATGAATGAAACTCACAGAGCACTGCCAGAAACACTGCTCCAGCAAAGCAGCTGCAGGTTCTTAGTCATATCCCAAGGCATTAACATTCACACAGCCAGGGGACAGAACTAAAGTTCTGCATTATTTATTAACTGAGCTGTACCACAACTACTACTTGCTGAGCTGAAAGTGTACACTGCTGTATGGAAGTAGCATACGGTCTGAAGATGCTCTGGAAACTATTTTCCATTATTCCATCTCATTAAGCTCCTTCCTTTTTTCCCTCCCAGCTCTCTGTATCTTTCACATTGTTTATTTTTTCACATACTTGCCTGTGCTGTGTTCATTCTTTTGGCTGCTCTGTCCTGAAGTAAAACAGCCTAGCCTTCTGCCAGCTATTTCCCTTTGTCTTGCCAATGTTACTAAAAGAAGACTGTCTTGCTGGCATGCACCACCTCCCTGACTGACTACCCAGAACAGAAGCACAGTCAGAAAAAAGACCTCATTGATTCAGATGCAGCTCCATTTTACCATGCACTGCCACAGCTAACTTCTCTGGGACTCAGAGCACTGTATATTATACTTGCAGCTTCTCTACACAGTGTGTGAGGAAAAGGCTGCAGCTGCATCTGCTTGACTCATCTCCAATTTTACTTTAGTGTCCTACTCCCCACACCATATGTAAGTTGGCTCTGTCTAGTCTTCTTCCCACAGTGAGCCAAGTGGTCCCACAAGAGGAGATCCAAGAATGGAATAATCCATTTCAGGACCTGTTCCCTGGAGCTGCATGAAAACACCAAATCTGCCTTACTTGGGCCTTTAGTATGTGGCATACTTCAGTATTTTACAAAGAAGTCATAAACTCTCAAACTTCTTTATGATATCCCCAGGGCATACAGCACAAACTAAATGTGCTGTAATAAGACCCAGAAAGTTGCAAGCCTTCCACAAGACACAGGACAAATCAGCACACACCGATTAGCCCAGTGGCCAGAATGCACCCTCATGTGGTCCTCTAAGATACAAACCCCCTTACTCAATTCAGGAACCAAAAATGTACGAAACGAGAGAGATATCACCAGCCAAGAGGAAACACTGAGCACAGCGATGATCTTAAATCTTCCTCCTCTGATGTGCTTTGATGCCAAAGTTGGCTTTGTCAAGAGAGACCTGTTCTCACTTAAAATCCAGAACTAGGAAACCTCTCCCGTCAGTAGACATTTTTAACTGTATTTCAACTGAACATACTGTATCCTTTAGCTTCTAGCCGTAGCCACCAGTGGTTCTACCAATGCCTGTTTAACTTTGTAAGAGTTTGGTCACAAAAGCATACAGCAACACAATTCCCTTCTCAAACTGAAAATATTCAAGACAGCTGGTACCATTTTCCATAAGAATACCCTTGGAGATGCAGGAGATGCATCTCAGAGTAGATCTGTGCTCTCAGCAGAAACAGTGAAGAAGCTCTAGGCTCCAGGGAGCCATAAAAGCCATGAGAGCCATGTAAAGCCACATAGAAAAGAATACAGAGAACTTAAGCATATCTCAGATCATGCTGTAGTTGACAGCTTTCGCCAGCAGTGCGGTTTTGGACTTTACCCTGCCTATTGTTAAAGGTAAGCATGACAAAAAGGGACTGTGGAGAAGACTGAGCCCTAGGGACATTCTTCTCAGCAGCTTGGAGATGTCCCATGGGAGATGTGCAGGATTCATGGAGATGCTTCTTTGAGGAAGGAAGGACACACAAGGGCTAACAGGCATCCTTTGGCTGCAAAGAGCAGTGGCAGTCCAGGAAGAGCCAGTGCCCTCTCCACAACTGCAGTGCTATTACAGGCATAAAAATACAGAGCCCTCTTTCTATGTACATTAAAATTCTGTAACGAACATTTTCCAGGAGAACAGATTACTCACCTGTATTTATGAATGATGGCATTAAACAATCTTCCATCGCGCCAGCAGGTAGTGAAATTTTCACAATGTATTCCAGCATAACCCTCAGTTGTTTGCTGCGACCACAGGAGCAGTCTCTCTTTAGCAGACATGTCCTCTGACTCTCCAGTAACATGGATATCAGATATCTAAAATACAGTTAATGTAAACATTACAGTTACACCTAACCCATAATAATATTTAGAACATTGCAGAAAACCACTCTGTGTTACTGAAAAATTTCCTGATATCTGCAAACATGAATATGATGATTATTTATCATTATACATAAATAATGTACTGTATTTATATTCTTTCATGTCCTATCCTTATGCACTCTTAGTGTTTTGAATGAAATACAAAAATCTTAGCTTCTTCACAGTTTTCTTCAGTTAGCCAGTTTTCAGCCTCCTAATTTCTGGAGACAATATACCACTACTACATTATGAAAAATATGTGACTATCTTATGTCAGTAATGCCTATAATAACATCTTTTATGTATGACATCTATTATACATAAATTGTATATAATTATATAAAATACAATGGTTTATATATATAGTTTTATATGTATATATTATGCTTATGTAATACCCCTATTTATATTACGTATACTTTATATAGCTACAATGCTCATCTCAAAACAGATTAATTTCTAATATGTTTGTCTGGAATTCAGTAACACAACAGTTATTTACAGTGAAAACTGATAACAGTTTTAGGACAAAATTTTCTGAGAAGCATTTACGAGTGACTGAAAGATTAGAAATAAAAATTTTGCCTGATAAAGAAGGTTTGGTTTTGTATTATCTAAATATTCTCAACTTCATGATAGGGAAAGCAGGAAAGTACCGGGAATTTTACATACAAATACTACTTTCTAGTACATTTAATTCTCCCCTAACAAAATTCAGTCGAATTGCTTAGAAAACTATCACTGCATAAATATGAAGTAGATATTTCCCTAATTTTCACATGTATTCTTTGCACTTCATGTTATAGACACTGTACTCAATGTAAATGTGAACTGCAAGGCAGACCTAAAAGAAAACATGCCTTGATAAAGAAAGCGCTATTGCATGCTGTCTTTCCTGTAAGTGACTACCTTTTACCACTTACTCAAACAATAACAGATAATATAATGTTATTACAAAGAACACTAAGAACCCAGGTACCATGAGGCACACTGTATAAGGACAATAGCTCAGACACTACAAAAATCAGACAGAGGTGTTTAGACAGAGGCGCTTAGACAGAGGCGCATGGGCAGAGGCGCTTGGGCAGAGGCAAGAGGACTTGAGACAGCGCCAAGGTTTGTGGGTGGACAACAAACGCCCCCATGAGCCCACCTGGAAAAGGCTTCGTCACACAAGCCTACACCTAGCACCACAGGGAGACACAGGGTTCCTCCAGCTTTGGAGCCAAACTGAAGCCAGAGATCAGGGGAAGTTTGCCCACAAAGAACTTTGGGCATGAGGTAGGTGCTCCAGTTAGCTGCAGAAGAGGCTTAACTTGAGCTGTGCCAATTTCAGCGATCCTGCTCTACTGTAAACCAGGGAGCTTCATTCATGAGATCAAGTGGGACAGTCATAAAGATGCCTCCTGACCTGGAAATCTCTGCACACAAGGAATCTTCTGTCTGGGCTATTGCTGGGGAACTTCAGACAGGCTAGGATGGAAATTATGGGGTCTTCTCACATTAGAAACACAAAACACAGCGTCAGGAACAGAAATTGAACTTTTCTACCAGTACTGCTATGTCAATGCCTGACAGGAGGTGGTGTGGAGCACTAGGAATCAGGGACTAAAGGACGTCCTTTACAAAAGCCTGTAGTTATGCTTTAGTAAAGCAACGTAGCTACCTCTGTGCTTGCTGCAATTTCTGTTTAACCAGCTGTCATACCTTCAGGGGAGATGAGCATTAATAGCTATACAGTAAAATGTAAGTAAATTTAATACAGGGAACAAATTAATTTATTTTTTATCCAAGTATCCACAAAATCACAAGTTGTGAAAGCAGTTCTTCACATCACAGACCATCATAACTGCTGGCTTTTCCTTTCCCTTTAGGTAAGGGAAAAATACATGCACTAGCGCTAGAAAGCAAAATATTTTTAACTGTTCAACTAGCCCATAAACAATCTCTGAAGATCTGACAGCATTTTTTTTCCATCCTTTTTGTTTCCAGCTTCAACACTAAACAGTATTAATAAAGATCAAAGAGAAAAAGGAAAGAAAGAAAAAGAAAGAAAAAAGAAAAAAAAACCCTACATTTTTGTTTAAAACACTGAAGGGAATACATGAACATCCTTGTCTCCAAATTGGAGAAACATCAGTTTGATAGGTGGACCGCTTGGTGGCTGGATGGCCGCACACGAAGAGTTGTGGTCAATGGCTCAATGTCCAGCTGGAGACCAGTAATGAGTGGTGTCCCTCAGGGATCGATGTTGGGACCGGTCTTGTTCACCATCTTTGCTGGTGACATGGACAGTGAGATTGAGTGCATCCTCAGCAAGTTTGCCGATGACACCAAGCTGTGTGGTTCGGTTGATACACTGGAGGGAAGGAATGCCATCCAGAGGGACCTTGACATGCTTGTGAGGTGGGCTGATGCCAAGCTCATGAAGTTTAACCATGACAAGTGTGAGGTCCTACACCTGGGTCGGAGCAATCCCAGACACAGCTGCAGGTTGGGCAGAGAAGAGATTCAGAGCAGCCCTGCAGAGAAGGACTTGGGGGTGTTGGTCGATGAGAAAATGAACATGAGCCAGCTTCAGTGTGCGCTCACAGCCCAGAAAGCCAACCGTATCCTGGGCTGCATCAAAAGGAGCGTGACCAGCAGGTCAAAGGAGGTGATCCTGCCCCTCTGCTCTGTTCTTGTGAGACCTCACTTGGAGTACTGTGTGCAGTTCTGGTGTCCTCAACATAAAAAGGACATGGAACTGTTAGAACAAGTCCAGAGGAGGGCCACGAGGATGATCAGGGGACTGGAGCACCTCCCATATGAAGACAGGCTGAGAAAGTTGGGGCTGTTCAGCCTGGAAAAGGGAAGGCTGCATGGAGACCTCATAGCAGCCCTCCAGTATCTGAAGGGGGCCTATAGGGATGCTGGGGATGGACTCTTCATTAGGGACTGTGGTGATAGGACAAGGGGTAACAGGTTAAAACTTAAGCAGGGAAAGTTTAGATTGGATATAAGGAGGAAGTTCTTTACTGTGAGGGTGGTGAGGCACTGGAATGGGTTGCCCAAGGAAGTTGTGAATGCTCCACCCCTGGCGGTGTTGAAGGCCAGGTTGGACAGAGCCTTGGGTGGATGGTTTAGTGTGAGGTGTCCCTGCTCATGGCAGGGGGGTTGGAACTAGATGATCTTAAGGTCCTTTCCAACCCTAACTATTCTATGATTCTATAAATCACACAAAATACAGATGGTATGAGTCCTGCATGTAAAGACAACAGGGAATCCAATGTGGTGAAAGACCAACTCAAAATCATTGTGAAAATTTTCTTGTAAAGTTCCAAGGAACTCATCTGTAGTATAAGACTTCCTTTGTGTGGGTTACCTTTATTCTTTGATATTTCAAAGCAAGAAAGCAAACTAAATATTTTTTCACTAGCTTTAGTTTCTGTTCATCACAGAACAACCAACGCACAATATAAATGAAGTCAACCGTCTACCACTTATCCGGACAACGCTTCTGAAAGAGATGATGTCATCTGGAAGTGACAGATGTCTTAACAGAAAAACACCAAAACCCCTGTATTTTTTCCCCCATAATTTTCAGAAAATCCTCTGCGTGTAATCCTTAAGTATCACGTTTTTTCATATATTCCAGCACAAGTGAGCTAACACTGTAATTTGCTAATGGCCATTCCTTACTGCTAAATTCAAACCTCCAGCCTCCTTTACAGCTGACTGACTGGCGATGGCTGTGTACATTTCAGACTGCAGAGAGTGGAAATACAGCATATTTGCACATTAGGTTCCACATTAGGTTCCTCTGGAAACAACTGATTTCAGACATCAAGGCAACTTCTGAAGGCCTCTGTTGTTACGTATAAACAACATTTGTAGCTATGGACACAAACACGAGGAGAACACTTCTCACTCTGAAAGTGACCACTAGAAAACCTCACAGTCCACATTTTGGATGGCTAAACCATGATTTTAGCTCATTACAACAGGTTTTCAATCCCAAATCTTCCAAGTACCAGTTGGCATCTCAACTAGCCATCTGAATGACTAGGAATAGACTAGGCTGAGTTCAAAAACTAAAATTACTTTTCACTTATGGAGCTAGCCCATTTCAGTACTGGTTAATGAACTCTGACATTAGCTTGAGACCTGAAACAGCCTGAGCTGTTCTCTAAATAAAGTGTTTCAGATTCCAAAGCTAAGATTTCAGATTTCTTCATAAACACTGTATTCATATTTTTAAAGTATAAAAATACACCAAGGGAAATGGTGAGTCAAAGAGCTATATTTTATTACACTTACAAGCTCTACTTTGCAAGATGCCCTATTAACTTGGAACTACTTAAAAAGTAAAATACTAGCCCCACAAAATAAGGTGTCGGAGAAAAAAAGAACACATCTTGCCTTTGACAGACACATAAGGAGAGTATAGCTACTCAACTACCAACTACACATTATCATTAATAATTGTAACACCATTTGCCACAGTAAAGGAAAAGAACTACTAAATCAGGAATACCAGAACAGAAAATAAATGGCCATCAAATCTACTGCTCAAATTTTGTCCTTCAAAGCACGTTTGTGTGAACCTTTCATTCTTACATCCCCCAAGCCTACCATTTACCCGCTAAAAGCTATTACTAAAAGGATATTTGTTCCTTTAAGCACAGAAAAAAATACTGAGCTTGCATGAATTTGAACAGTTGTTTGCTAGAGATCCAGTTCAAATTATCTCAATGCCTGTGAATTCCAAGTTATGCAAGAAAAAGTGACAAAGGTAATTCTTTGCACAGCCCTTGTACTTCAGGATCAAAGTCTTAACTGGCACTAAATACCCTTGTTTCTTCTTTCTAACTGGGAGAACTAGTTCATCCCTACAACTTCAAGTGTTTTTTCTCTGCTTGTAAGTTCCCTCTGATTCACACAGTACAGAAAATCCATACACCAGAAAGCCT